GAACATGACCAGAATGGATGGTTTATCACTGAAGTGATCAGCGGACTTATGGCACCAATGTTCGATTTAACCAAAGCTGTGGGAAAGGGGTCCAGGGCACAGGTGGAGGGTTTCATCTTTTTGATGATGGCCTCAACTTCATGCTGCGAGATGTTAGTGAAGCAGCAAAGAGGCTGGGTCGGTCCAGGCTGGGGGTTGACGGTTGACGGTCAGGACTAGCAGAGCAGCGGAGTTTGAGAGGAGAGAGCAGATGGTCTCTACCTTTTTCCTGAAAAATGTGATGAAATTATCACACTACTACTCTGTGGTGTCTTTGTGTAGCGGAGTCTGAGGTTTGAGGAGATGATTTATGGTGGAAAAAGTAGCTTGGAGTTGCCAGGGCTATTTTTGATGATGGTGGAGTAGAATTTTGACCGTGTGTCTCTGAGGGACTTGGCGTAGGCATTTTGGTGGTCCCGGTATGCCTGTCTGTGAACAGAGAGGCCTGAAGCCTTGAAGCGCCGCTCAAGGACACGCCCCGCTATCTTCATTTTCCTCAGCTCGCAGGTGTACCAGGGGGCTGAGCATGAGAAAGTGACTATTCTGGTTTTGACAAGGGCGTGGAGATCCAGGAGACTGTTCAGAAATGTATTGTAAAAATCCACAGATTCATTGACTGATGTATTGCATAAGCTTCAAATCGAGAGACTGAAACTGTATTGTCCTTTACCGTTCCGTTTTAATTTCACAATAAAATTAATAGTAATATTATGTTTGATATTATTATGTTTTATTAACTAGACCACTGGTTATTTAACCCGCACCGCCTAGTGGTTAAAGCACGTTATTGCATTTTGTAGTTATATTTGATGAAAACATTTAAATATTAAGAGTAGCCTACATCCAAAATAGGGGGAAAGTAGAAGGCATGATAGAAATATAGCATATAAAATATCAAGAAGATACTGTAGTGATCTCTACAATAAAATAGTTTAGTGCAGGACGTCCAACGATATTAACAGGAGGATGTGCAAAACAGACAAACTAATAAGGCTTTCTTTAAACATTAAAGAATACTTCAAGTTAAGGTCTTCTTTTGAATAAGAAAACAATGTTGGGGGTATCAACAGATAAATATTAAGTCTGACAAAGTACTTAACGTCTTATATATTGCATAGTTTATTTTGGCACTTGACAATCACCTTCCCTGAATTTTACTCAGGTGTAACTAAAGTCTGATTTAAGGGTTGTTTATGTTTTGCATCATTAATCAGAATCTGCAAAGTAACAAAAATAAATATAGCGGAGTAAAAATACCAGGTTAACCTCTGAATTGTAGTGGAGTAGAACAAAGTAGTATGCTGCTGTAACAAAAACATTTCCCAACTTGGGATCAATAAAGTATATCTTATCTTATCTTAAGATGATCGATGGCTACTACCATATTTGCAAAATTTGCGTCTGAACCTTGACAAGTGCATGTTTCAGGCTTATCAATTAACAACAGGAGGGGTCACAGACATAAGACCAGCTGTTAAATAAAGATATTCTGACCTTAGCTGTCATGTGGGTATATATGAATGCTGCCCATTATGGACACAAGCAATTTTCACCCATTTATTAATTATATGTTTTAAATTTGATAACACCAATGTGTTTCGTATCCCCTAAACCTCCAGGGGTGTAAGCAGTTTAATACTGGCAACTTCTAATTGTGGGAAATACAAAAACGTCTTTTAAAACTACAATTCCCAGTAGAGACATGCCATAGAACATGTTGTGAAACACCGAATAGCCAGCATGTGTAGTTCTGGGGGGGAGGGCTGAGCTGGACCCGTCCGAGTCCAGTTTTGGATAGTCTGCTGTGGTTCCATTCCATTTCAAAGAGCTGTTTGACGCTCGGTGTAACCTTGTCGCACTGCCACTCCAACATCCAATCACAGAGCTTGGGGACTAATCACATGGTTTGTAAAGCAAGGCGGATGTTGTAGTCCCAAACAATAGCTGGGAATTCTGGGTAGTGTAGTGTCTTCGGAAACTCTGCAGTGTCTACATTTGTTTCTCCGAATCGAAGGTTAAAAACACAAAAGCATTGTGCACAATTTAAACCAATCAATATTGTGTAATTAACAAGGATAAACTGATTTTTTTTATAGTGGATGAGTAATGCAGATATCACTGTGTAATTATTTGACAGTGAGGGGAATACTTCCGGTTTTATTATGAAAACTTCGAGACCGGAAATACTGTTTTCACCCTGTGAGGGTTGACGCTAACTTTACATGAAAGCTGCCGCATATACACGTTCTCCTGGCAAGACTATCAAACAGTAATATCTATCAAAATATAGATCCTACACATCCACTGGACATAGATTATAAAAGTACAATATACAGTTCTCGCTAGAAATCTAATCAAAAATAATTTTAATGGCCAAACTATTCCACAATTTAGGATTTTCCAGAGAGGGTTATTTGTGAATAAAAGAATCTCTGGAGCGTTTGCAATCAAGGGGAGCCTGTTGTTTCTTACACGACCACTAGAGGTGCTACACTTTAAAACGTGACTCTGGGTCGTAACCATAGACTGTATAGAGTGGCGAAGTCACGCCCATCTACTTCCGGTCCATGGGACCTTATTTCGGAAAAATAATGTATTGAAGTCAATGGAGAGAGAAAACTTATCTTTCGATCCCGTTTGAATTGTGCCATGAATTACACATATGATGTTTGTCAATCTTAAAAAATAATTTCCATGTCAAAAAAGTCACAGTTTGTCGTAAAACTGTTGAAATATAAGACTATGAAAAATACGCAACTAGAAAGACTACAAATCCCAGAGACGCGTAAGTGATGTCACAATTGTGTTCCTCCACTAAGAGATAGCTAAGATCAGCGCCATATAGATAGAATATATTTATATGGCGCTGGCTAAGATAAGATAACTTTAACAAGATGCCTGTGTGCTTAGTACCAGGTTGTTATCATACCAGCAATGGGTCTTGCTCGTTATTTCGCTTCCCGTCTGATGAAAGGACCAGGAGTGGCTGGATCAAGTTACCCAGCTAGCGGGGAACGTTCTCACAACTTTGGCTAACGTTACCTATTGGTTCTAAAAAGGTTTTAAAGAAACGTTTTAATCTGATGTTCAAAGAACCTTTTTAGGATGTTTATTTTTTCAAATAATGTTCCTATAAGGTTTAAGGTTAACTAAGACATAACGTTTAAACTGCAACATTCAGAGGATGTTTTGAGGATGTTATTGAGGCCTGAGATGACAGAATTTCTTTTTTTATAAAACGTTCCTGTTATGGTCAATGTCAGATTTATTTCTAGAGTGCTTTAAAAAACAAACTGTTGCAAGGATGTTTTAAAAAAAATCTGATGTCACCATATTTTCCTTTTGAAAAAAACAAACAAGCACGTAATTCATGATAAGCTGTAAGCAGATATTGCATGTTTACGGTGACATGTGTGAGTTCCCAGCTAGAAATGTTTGTCACCATTCGTTGTTCTAGGAATGTTTTCAGCCGGACGTTTTATTTGGGTTCCCAGAATGTTCTTCTGAAAGGTAGGATCACGTTCTTTAAAAACATTTTTGAAATGTTTGGTGACAACCTTCTTAAGATGTTTTTGATAACCTTCTTAAGATGTTTTTGATAACATTGTTAGAACATTATGCCCTACTGTTTTTAAAACGTTTTCAGCTGGACGTTTTAGTTTGGTTCCCAGAATGTTGTTCTGAAAGGTAAGAAAACGTTCTTTAAAAACATTCTGGAAATGTTTGGTGATAACCTTAAGATGTTTTTGTGTCCCCGGTATATGTAGTGTATATAGCTTAACAGCCAAATAAACTCCCTCCGTACACCAAGACTCTGAAGACGTGAATCCTTTGACCACAGGTTTAATAGGATGGTGTGAAACTAAAAATAAACAAGACAAAATATAATCAATTCTATGATCATTTCTACATACACACATATGCACAATGTATATAAATCAACACAGCTTTAACATTAATTGCATTTCCTTGTTATATTTACTGTAAGCTTTTTAATGTATTTAAACTTGCCTATTGTAATTCTAGAACTTAAACAGTTATAAATGGCATCATATTTTAAACATACAGTATAATCAGCCATTTGTACATTTATTCATTTAACTCTCCTTGCATTAACCTTGTACACTATTGAGACAACTCGGAAGATCTCCAGCATTAAACACCACAGAATACAATATTTTCTAAAAATAATCA